TTAATTGGTGGACTACGTTGTGAGCCTCCTCCTCCTTGATAGTCTTTGTTCAATAGATTTCCAAGTTCCTCAGCAGCTTTCAGAAACTTCTCGGATTTGAGTTCTTGAAAGGGAAGATTGTCAGAGTCTTTTTGGAGAACTGGTTTTTCAGACATTGATGAACATTCTGAGTCGCCAGACCTGTCTGAATTTGCAGGTTTGGAAGATTCTGAACAGAGTTGGTTGGTAGTGGGAAGCTCATGATTAACTGTCTGAATATGGTCATTAAAATAAAAAAAAATACAAATTAAAAAGAAAGAACAAAATAATTCCTCTATTGTCAAAGGAAAATGGAGCAGAGTGAGACCTGATGTTCCAAGTGCTCTGGTGAGCTTCCAGGTTCGTATAAAGCATTTCCTGTATCAGAACATTGAATTATTCAAACCGAAACACAGAAAAAGAAGAAACAAATTCATGGTTTTCCCCAATATTCTTGGACATATGCACAATGGACAACCAAATTGCAAAATAGAAAATGAAATTCTCTTGAACATTGAATTTCTATTCCTTAAATACAAGTTTGATAATGATATCCTGCGCCGATGTATTCACTGCTACAAAAAAGGGAAGGAGGGCAAAATTGTTGAGAGGACCATCTCTCAAAGGACAAGAGGGGAGAAATGAATTTCCTTCCTTAGTTGTTCTTAGGTGGGTGGGATTTTGGGATACTGTAGTCAGCACTAAAAGCTGTAAAACCATCCTTTTTGACCTTTACAGGATGATGGAGACTGCTTCTGTTTCTTATCAAGTTACATCTTATGATATTCAGATTTTCTTTCTCTCTATCATTACAGTTTCCAACAGAATGAGCTGCACCTGAAATCTTTGTTTCTTCGGCGTCCAATTTGCCTGCTTTCACAGCCTTTTTCACCAAATTAGAACCTTTTGACATCATTTTTCTTCCTTCAAGCCTCATGTTTCCATCTTCAGCCGTGGCAACAGGAACTCCATGATCATAAGCTTCCTGGTACAATGTTTCTTTAATGGATTAGGATCCATTTCGAGTGTAATAATAACGAATAAGAACATATTAATTTCATTAATTATACCTTTGCAATATTAGCCGAGTTCCTTCCTGCTACTTCAAGGCCAACATTTCGATCCAAATCCTTCCTAACTGAAAGAATTTCAAGAAATCAACAAAAAATAGGCTAAAAGAAAAAAAAATTATATATAGAGAGAGAGAATAAAAACATTCAGAAATATATACCTTGCTGCAGGGTTAGTGCAAAGGAATTTCTTATAAGTAGAACCAAAGAGAATACAAGTAGAAAGGCAGTAAGCCTTACTGAGAACACCATTTTTTTCCCTTTCTTCGTTCTTTGGGTAAGGAAGTTTGTGTCCAGAAAAAATAAGAGGAATCAACAGGTGGATCTATATATATATATATATATAGAGAGAGAGAGAGAGAGAGAGAGAGAGAGAGAGAGGCCAAACATGGGTCAAAGATAGGGTTCAACACTGTTCTCTTTTACTTAACTGAGTGCATTATTTATTTAAATGTAGTTCCTTAGGGAAACTCAAAAAAACACAAGAAAGCTAAGCTAGCATTGTTCAACGCCTTGGAATAAAAAAGTTCGAATGGTTTTTCTAGGTTTGCTAAAATGTCAGGAAAAAGGCGTATAATCGAGTAGAATGGAGGACATATAATATAGGGGTGTTCAGCCAGCTAGCGCTTGCCTGCCGCCATGCACGCAACGAGGAGTGTTTTTGTCTTGATCACCAAGTTTGCCTGCACACAAAACGCTATGGTTTTGGTTTTTTTAATCCTCCTGGAGCCTCCAATTCCCAACACAGGAAATATATTTATGCCTGTCTCTCCTGGCGTTATTGTTTGTTTTTAAAGGGATTCTTGCCGAGTTGGCGTCTGTGCACAGTTTCTTAGTGTAAAAAATGAATACAATAAAAGGGTGAAATTGAAAAAGAGAGAGGGCTTCTTAATTTCAGACTTTGTTTGAATAGTCTTAGTAAAAGGGTTTTAATTTAATTAAGCTGTGCAGGTGTAGCTACTTTGACTGAGATTCAGAGAAATTACATGGGAAAAAGTGATATTTGAAAAACTGGGCTTGGAGAACATGTTAGTAAATGTAGAAACCCTGCTAGGGATGACCGCCGGGTTTACTGTCCTCCGCCAGGTATTAATAGGTATATCAGGGAGAACATGTGGTTTGTTGGCCACTTCACTTTATTCTGTTCAAAACATATTGTAGCATATGACACGTTAAATTTGTTGTAAGAAGTGATCAAAGATATTATTTTACTTGTAAGGAAAAA